TGGCAAAGTTCCTCCTTGTTTAACAGGAGATTGTTTCCTGTCCTTCTCACCCTAAATGACACTTTAATCTACAAACACTGACTTTCCCTAATTGTACCTTGATGGAGAGAGAGGCAAACCCTTCCCTCCCCCTCCAAGGACTGCCATTTAATTAACAGGCAGGTACAGGTAAATCTCTCGGGATTTACAGCCCAGCTTTAAGCTGCCACTCTCTCTACTCAGTACCTCAGGCCTGTGATGACTCACTCCACTTATTTTTACATTTCAATACCTGCATTTCTGCTAATCTTTCTCTATGCCAGCTTTCTGGATTTAGCTTTCATGGACCTATGGGGAAAGTAGTTATTCCAACGAACTGTCCACATCTCACTTTTCATGCACTTCCTGGATACTGATATCAAATATTTATGTTATAGATGCCTTCAGAGCAGAACAACACCTATGCTCGCACTGTTACCAGATTCTAGTTTAATCCAGCCCTCATATCTGCCCTATAGACATGACCGGAGATAGCACACTTGAAAGAGGGAGAAATCAGAGTCAAAGATATTAGGACTGGCAGATCAAGAAGGCTAGTCCTCCTTCCCAAATTGGATCAACTCCCCCCAACCTGTTCTTCTGTTCTTGACAAATGCTTTTCTCACCAATTCTTAAAAAGTCCAGTATTGGCGACTTACACAATCCCAAGCAATCTTTTCCAGTGTTTCCTGCCCTCCTGTTATACATCTGAAAGCAAGGGAGAGAACAGTGTTGAAAGACCAGCTTGCACATCTTGCTCAGAGGGATACAGCTTCTGGCACCTGGGGCCAAATCCTCTGTCCTGCTGGTGGTGAGGAGCAGATTCATTTTACTTTGGTTGTGGTTTTGTTCCCATGGTGGATGAAGGAGTAGCAAATAGTATCCCTTACAGCTGTCTTTGCTATGCACATTGAGATCTAGAGAAGTCCAAAGAAAACTAATCTATTACTAAATGTTAGAGGCTGAGGGTCAACCCTAAGACCTCTGGATTTTAATGCATGGATCAATAGTCTCTGAGTTAACAGCCCTATTTTGAGAGCTCATCTTAGAGCAGATCTCAGACTGTTTCAGATCAGGCACAGCTCAAGTAAAGCTCATGAGCTCCAAATGGTCCAGGCAAATCCCACATTTGCGCATGCACCCGAGGGAACTGTATGTGCAAGTGAGCAGTTGTGCCCTCACCTTTGACTTCACATTGGAAAGACCAGTGTTGCCATGGCACTACCCATGCAAGCTGCCATAGATATCTCTGCCTTGGCAAATTGCTGTCTAAATCACTTGATGAAGGGCAGGGACTTGGCAGAGAGGAGATCACACAAAGCAGCTGGGGAGTTGCATTTCCTATTTGGCGATAGTCGGCATCTCTGCAGATCTGGTGTCTTCTCCAGCTTTGAAACTCTACGGTGTCAGGCTGTGCCTTGCTGAGACCTCTAGTGACAGGGTGTGCAAACCAGCCTCTCGGACAAATGTCACTAGCTCTTCAATGGACATGAGAAATCTAAGAACAAGCAAAGTGGGAACTAGCAGGAACTGCAGAGGAGCTCTGCCTTGGCACACCTACGTTTTAGTAAATACCTTACTTTTCAAACCTCTCCCCCTCTGCCAGGGAAAACAAAGTGCAGGGGGAAGGAACAATTGGAATTCATACAATTAATGTAGGATCTACGGGGTAACATTTGCATACTAAGAGTAGCCAGCCTGTTAGCAAACAATGCACCAGTGCCTGTTACATTAGCTGACAACAGCAAGTGTAACAGAACTGAGTGTATTTAATGTCCTGCTCTTTCCCCATCACTGAGCATTTCTTAGTTCCTAAATCTTTCCTATCCACCCACAGGCTGGAAAGCAAAAGGGGAAAAGGGGCTGAGAGTGGAGGAGGAGAAACCAAAATGCACAGACTGTGCCCTGGTATTTCAAGAGCTGTTGTCACTGCAATTATCCACAAGAGGTTTTATCCTGAACTTGCAGAAGTGGAACTAAAGCCCAGGGAGGGATAACAACAGGCTTTGGGCTATGCTAGCAGTCAGGAGCAGAACTCTTAAATCTCCGGAGCCAGCTTTGCCCAGCTGTGATCAAAGACATTGCAGGAGACTGCAAGGTTTGGGAGAAGGATAAACAGAGGGAAAATAGCTGTTCCATAGTGAGGAATTCACTGTGAGTCTTCTCTGGAGCTGACATCGCTGCATCCACTGTAGTCAAGGAAACCTTTAATTAATAAGGAATTAAACGTGGTTGTTTCATTCCCTTTGATCAGCCCCATCTGCTGACCTGACCTGGTCTCTCTGCAGGACAAATTAGCCTTTTGACTAGTGCTGGTGCAGCCCTCTGAAATCAGCAGGGCTGTAGAGAAGTCACTCAGAGGAGAGACCTGACTGTATCAACAGCCAAGCAGTTCCAATTCTTGGTGAAGACCTCATTTGTCACTCTATTCGACCTGGACAGAAAATGAAGAGGAGGAGGAGGCAGGGAGGAGAGTGAACAACTGATCTCAGCCTAGCACTGCTGAGAGCTGCCCTTCCCCTCCACTGCAGAGCAGTGAGCAGCACCAGCCGATATGGATTGTGGCTGGGTTGGCGCGGGGGATTGTTGGCTGGTTTTAGAAAAGTTTTTTTTTTTTGGGCCCCCCCCCAGCCGATATGGATTGTGGCTGGATTGCAGAGGGCTATTGATGCATGATATGAGAAAGTTTTTTACACAAGGAGGATGCAGAGGGCTAGCTTCACGCACATACTGACATTTCTAGGGCAACATATACAAAGGCTCTCGTGGTCCCAGAACATCACTTTTCCTAGCTGAACGTGGGTGGGCTGCCTGGCAATACAGGCAGACATGCTGCACACGACGAGTGGAGCCATCTCTGGTGGACGCTACTCTGAGGTGCCGGGCAAGAGAAGACATGTATGGACATGTCTCCAACATGGACATGTCTCCAACAAACTCCATCTAGACCCCTTCCTGCCTCCTTTTGAGTATGTGGAAAAAACAGCATGTCTGGCCCACTAGGACTCCCAGCTGGCCAAGGAAGACTGTAAGAGAAGGAAGGGGCTGCCGTAAGCCATGACTCTTAGATGTTTCTGGCAAGAGGATGGCCGCTTGCTCTTTCGCTGTAAAAATCAATGTTCCCAGCCTAGGGCACTAAGCTTAAGAGTCAGGATGGATTGGTGGGATGGAAAGGGGCTTTATTCCCCCTAGAGCAGTTGGAGAGGAGAAATAGATGCCAGATCCTTAAAAAAATCAAATAAGAAAAAAACAAAAAACCTAAAATCCAAATCTGTCTGCCTGGTTCCCTGCAGTTCATGGCTGGCATGTTTTGTTCTCCACCAATGGTGTGGGAGGATTTAGCTCCTATTGACAGATGAGCTAATCAGTTCCCCTCAGTTCTTGAAGCTTTATCAAAGCCAGCTAATCATGTTACTGACATCCGCCCAGGCCAGGGCTCTCCGCTTCCATCGTCAGCCAACAAGGCGACACACACATGCACACCCCACCAACATAGGGATCAATTTGTTTCCTGTCCCAATCCCACTGACAAGAGGATGTCAATAGTGGCCATTGTACCAACGCGTGGATGCTGCCTGTCTCTCTCTCATGTGCTCTCTGCCAGCCCTCATTCCTGGAGACATATGACAGCTCTACCAGCATCTCATGGAGAAGGAGGATGACCTCTGAGGGCCAAGCTCATGTCTGGTTACCAGCATAGTAATGTCAACAGTAGGAAGAATTGCTATGGGTTTTTGCAGGCCCAAGTCCTAACCTATAAGGATGCTGAGGCCAAGAGTCATTTGAACCCAGATACTGAGGTGCGCTGTCCAAATCTCTCTCCTTGGCACTGGGTTTGTTTTACTTCTGTACCTTCATTTCACCAACTACTGCTCTGTGTTACAGTCTGTACTGCTTCTCCTGAAGATCAAACTGGAGTCTGTGCTCCTTTCCTCAGGAGTGCTTCTACCCACACAGCTACAAATCTACCAAGTCAACAGGAATGGCTTGCCCCATCGAGTTTCTGGGAGGCTTCTTCTGCATTTACACCAATGATGGAAGAAACCCATCACGAGGTACTCCCCAGGACCGTCTTTGCTTCCTGGCAAGGTCACTTGAATCAATGTTAGCTGGTAGCCTGTGCTTGGGTGGACAATGCTCAGAAGCACATTTAGAGATGGCTGATGTTTACTAGACTTCTTTGGTAAATGCCACTCTTGCAATGGCCTGGCTTGGTGACTATCTCTGCCATCAGGGATCACCAGCTACATCCTCCCTTCTGGCAAGCCTGCTTGAGGCCTTGAGGATTAGAGCTTGAGGCCTTGGGGAGACTGCTGCACCCAAGCTGTCTGGAGGCAGAGATCTCTCCCTTACCCCCACCATCCTCCCACACCTGCCTGCATAGCTGGCTAGCTCAGAGCTGCTCAGTGCCAGGGGTTTCTGTCCCTCGGACAAGGACCCTGGGCTAGGTCATGACTCAGGCTGGTTAGGACTTGCAACTCCAGGAGAGGCAGCTCCCCTTGCCAGGCAGAAACAGTGGCTGGGGAGCCAAGCAGTTGCATGTGAAGACCTTGGTGCTGGCTGCGGGGTGCAAACCAGGCCCTGTTGTAGGTAAATATGGGTTGCTCCTTAAGCTACTTATTTCAGAAAGGAAAGAAGTGTCTTTCCCAGTGTTAATTAATGGCCTTACACTTCCCAACCCCCCAGTCCTCTCTGCCCTCTTCTCACTCTGAAGAGAGATTCATTTCCCTGGTTTGACTCTCGATGTGTTTGTGCAGTTGCTGCAGGTCCCTCTGCCAGCCCAGCCAAGGAGATACCCCAGGGCTGCAGAGGTTAGCAGAGAGCTCTGTAAAAGAGGTGCTGCAAAAGCAAAGAGGGGGAAAAGCAGAGGGTTCAATCCAAGCAGAGCTGCACAGGCCAGCTCTTTGCATGCCGTCTCCCGCTCCTTTCTGGGGATGAGTGGGCGGGTGACATCTGCTGTGCCATGAGATGTGTTCACCCACCTATACAGACAATGTCCATGAAGCCATACATTCCATAGCAGATCTGGAAGAGCAGGTCCTGGCGCTGCCATTTGGCCGAAGGACTGAAGGTTGACCAGATGAGCCACGAGATACTGGCGATGAGGAAGAGGGAACCCAAGATGGCCGCTGCTATCTGAACCTTCTCAATGACTGTCAGAGAGATGGCCTGCCACTGCAAGGGGAGGCAGGGGGAGAGGAGAGGGGACAAGAGGGAGGGAGGAGGAAAAAAAAAAGAGATTAGTTATGTGGTGGACAGCACTGTTTTACATTGTGGTGATTTGGAGATCCCAGAGAGCACCTGTGACTTGAAATGTGCGCCCTATGCGTAGATCCTTTCGCTCGGTGCTGAAATGCAGGCTCTTCTGGGATGGAGCATGGCAGTTGTTTCCTGACAGCATGGTCCCGCATTTCCTGACAGCATTTCAGAAGAGGAAATGGGGAAAAATCCTGCATCTCACCAAGAAGGCACAGAAAGCTGAGGAAGGCAGCATGGACTGGGGGAAAGGTACCAAAAATAGCATCCTCATAGCAGTGGGTCTGTGATGGCCATCACAAGCCAGGACATTCAGTTGCTACCTGAAATGAAGGCCAAGCAGCATTCTGGGGCCACAGCATTCTATCAGCATGAGCAGAAGTGCCCTAGAGAGCTGAACTGTCCTTTGGAGGCCTCCCATGTAAGCCATGAGCTGGCTCTGTGCCACTTTGTGAGATCTGACAGGATCATAGCACTAGGTAGGATCTCACTGAGGCAACGCCCACCCCATAAAACGTGTTACAAGCAACACAAGTTGCTGTGGTCAGACTCCTTGCCTTTAGGGCGATGACACAATCAGGCTGTGTTCCAGGGTAAACGGCAATGCTTCTTCCTCAGAAGAAGGAAAAAAAGAAATAACTCCCCCCAGTCCATTCACTATGTCAAATAGCTCTGTATAACTCTGTATAGTATAAATATCCTGAGCCTGGACTCCTCTCTGTCATCCAGAATAAGCTCTCCCTACTCACATTTACACTGCTGAGAGAATGGCCCTGTAAAAACCAAGAGCTGAAATTGCTTTCTCTAACAAGACTAGGGAACATGGGCCAAGACTCCTCCTGCAAATCAGAAATCAAATGCTTAAACAAGCTGGGGAGAGCTAGTCTCTTCTGACGTTGAGGTATATAGGCCAGCTTTAGCTGTGAGATACATGCCCTTGAAATCTCAGAGGGACTGGCAGAAGGATAAATAAAGGTGGAATTCAGCCTCTTGGAGGTATAGAGGATTCAAAGGAGCTGAAAAGCTTCAGCCTGGAGTCAGCCCTCATTCAGTGTCCTTGTGAAGTGGTAACTCGGGAGAGCCCTGAGCACCTTGCCCATCTTTCAAACATCCTGGGACAGCATGGTCACTCCTCAAGCCTTGTACCATCATTTCAGAGAGCAAGAAGGGAGTTCAGTTGCTGGGTCCCTCTTTAATGGTCAGTGCCTCTGGAAAGTCCAGGCCAGCCTGGAGCTACCAGTGTTTTCAGGCCGTGGGCATGACATGGGGCCCCGCTCAAAAGGCAAAAAGGATAACAGGAGACTTGTGCTGGGGCAGGCACCATGACATTTCTATGAGTCCAGTGACTAGAACCCTAGACTGGATGCAGCCCCCTGCAAAGTGCTGCTTTTGGAGAGGAACAGATGAGAGCTTCAGCCTGATGTTGAGGTGTGCAGTTGAGTCTGGACGGAGATTTCTTGGCTTGGCTCAGAGGTGAGCTGAAGTGTCTGTCTCTGCCAGCCTTGGTCCTTGGCTTACATCCCGCAGGGGCAGACATCTTTCAGATTAGTTGTCAGGGATGTGCAGTATCAGTGAGGTGGGTGGTATCAGCTTATTTCTTAGCTGGCCATAAGATAAAATAGCCACAAAGCTCCTGAGCAGAAACAGAGACTGTCCTCTGCTGAACCAGGCCTGGGCTCAGCTAACTGCAATCGCCTTCCTGCCATCCACTGCAATGGCTGGCCCAACCAAAAACAAACAGAGAGCACTGAGGACATACAGTATTCTGTTAAACAGCTCTGCCCAAAGACCCAGCCTGCTCCATTCCTCCACCAAAGGCAACCACACCAGTGGCCCCTTCATGCCATGAGGAACACGAGGCAGTGAACAGCCCTCTTTTGAGGGCTGGGAGCTTGATGGTGCCATTTACGACAGGAGGATCAAGGCTAGATGCTGGAGTCCATAAGAGATGCACAGCCATGCAACTCTTCTCCTGTCACGAGACAGAGCAAAGGCCACTCCAGGGCTAAGAGGGGGCAATGGGCCTGCTAGTATCCATCTCTCTCAAATTAGGATTCTGAGGATGGGACCAGCAGCTAGCTACACAGTCCTCCCACAGCCCAGTTCACCTTCGTCCTCATAAGACCATAAGCAGACGCAGAACAAATCAGCTGCAGGTATCATCAGCTCCCAGCTCCAGGACTACAGGTGTGTGTGTGAGGGAGGGGGCGGTTGGGTATGCTGGTGGGTTTGTATTTTCACCTTTGAAGCTTTCCCCAGACCTTGTTTCCCCTTCCACTAGCTCTGGCAAATGCTGAAGATTACTGCTGGTCCCTCATGCTGACCCATGTGCGCCTATGCCAGCCAAATCATTCTGCATCATTTCTCTCTCGAGAGGAGGTAATGGACTGGCCATTCACCGTCTGTCTGGCAAACTGCAAGCCTGTGGCAGCAACAGGTCCTTCCGAGTAATTAAAGAGAGAAAAAGAAGAAGGAGCTGGTTTCTACAATTAACAGCCATGTACAACTAGTGTGACTGCTTTGCAGAGACAGGGAGTTAGGTTTATTGCTGCAATTGTTATACTATCAAAGAGGACATGGCTCAGGGCATTGAGAAGTTACACTCCTGAGTGCAAACTTCAAACCCAGCTCCCTTCAGCTGGGAATAGGGGGGGCTGAAACAGACAGGACTGCTGCCTGACACTGCTCTGTGGGTAATTCACTGTGGTGATAATGGATGAATCTGGAGTCCTTCAGCCATGCTGGGTAGCAGGAGACTCTTCCCCCAGCATCTGACACTAAGTGACTGTGACACACACAGCAGCAGTCCTGACTCTGTTCAGGAGGTGGCACTGGGGTGTGATTACCCTCTGGCAAGGAGGTAAATGGGTCACAGCTGAACGCTGGGCAAAATAACTGCTTGCAAGAGAATTTAATATTTTCCAGACCAAAAAAAAAAAAAATGCTGTATTTCCTCTTTGGCAACCCTGAGAACTGCAATTTAGCATTACACCTAGCCTGAACCACCAATAACCACCAAGTATTGGCGTTATTTTTTCATCTTTTAATTCCGTTTTGTTATACATCCTAGGGTAAGAGAGAAAAACAGGGGCCATTCAGAGGGTAAAGCATGTTGCCCCAGTGAAAGCACAGACAGAGGTGTCCAAGAGCTGTTCAGCTGATGAATTTTAGCTGCAGGAGGTGGGCCTGACACATCCCTGCACCGGCAGTCTCAGGGGCTGATCTCTATCACAGAACTGTGCCTTTCGGATTTTATAACAGCCCTTAGAAAATCACCCATTCTCCTAATCCATCTCCATAATCTTTAAGGCCAGCAGACCAGGGATTTGGTGGGTGACCCTATTGTCCTCAGGTCATTGCTACAGCTGCAAAAAAAAGGTCTTGGCAACACTGCAGTGTCCTTCTACTTGCACTTCTGAAACTCCCCAAAGCTCTTTACTTGAATGCCTGGTTATAGACATAGACTCCTCCTTCCATATCTCCAACTCAGACATTCGTATTCTAGCAAGGTCACAGGGTCAAGCAGTCCCACCTTACAGGGGAGAGACCTTCTATCCTCAGCTTCACTGCCAAGTCCCAGGTAACTGCTGAGTTGTTTTAGAAGTGCACCTTTAACAAGTGGCAGCTCACCCAAGTTGTCAGTCAAAGGAATAACTTCTGGATGGGTAGAAAGCTCTACAGATGATCTGCCACTGCTGAACAAGGCAGAACTAAGGCCTTGGTGGTACCAAAAAGCTTTAAAGGCTCCTGTGGGATAACAGGAGCAGCTCTGTGAACGCTGCGCTTACAATGGCTTCAGAGCATGCTGAAGCAGCAGTCTGCAATGGCTTGCCACCCGCACTGGAAAAAAGACTCCTTTCCTCCAGATTGCTCTGAAGAATTGTCCTCATTCACTCAGCAGCTGGCTGGCTCTTCTCTGCTACCATGCCCTTTGGCTGACTGCTTTGGTGCAATACCCATGTGCAAAACACCAATCTCTCTTGGACTGTATTCCCCCAGTTTTCCCCAGTTTCCCCAAACTGCAAAGCTCTGTGACCCAAATGCCTCAGAATGGCCAGGTCTGACATTTGCAATGATGTCTGCCAGAGGTGAAGCTGGGACCTGTGCCTGCCGGTCATGCCTTACTTGTTTTTTTGCGCTATTTTGTAATCTATTTTGAACTTGGGACCAGGCTGTTTCCCTGTTTGCTTCAGTGCTTCTGCTCAGAGACTTGTGACTGAAAACCCCTGTTGAAAAGTCTCCAGATATTCATAAGCAGCAACATGACCGGATCCAAGGCACATATTTGCCTGCAGAAGAAATCTGTGTCTTACTGCAGCCACTTGCTAAGAAGACTTGTTTGCTAGAAAAGCCTTCTACACTCCTCTGAGAGCTCCCCCATCCCTGCCTCAGGCAGTTCAGTTTATTTTTATTGCTGTATCTGACACATCCCCTTAGTATGTATCATTAACATCCTGAGCTGTGCTAGTCAGCGATTTCGTTTTCAGGCCCAGGATCACAAGCAGGCGGCATTTTTTCCTAGAAGGATGAAGTGGACCATTCCCAGCACTGCTTGGTCTGGCTCTCCCCTCGCTGCTGTCCCAGGGCCCTGGGAAGCCTCTCCAATCATCTTTTGGAGGATGGCTTTCCTTTCTACAAATTCACCAAGCAAATGTATCCTACAGCTACAATAGCTCCCTTGTTGTACATTTACAGATCATATGGCTTATTCAGATACTGGGAAGGCAGCAGGGAGGAAGGAGGGTCCATTCCCAAAGCTCCAGTAATGAAACATGGGCAGTGGTGAAACCCCCTCTCCCCCATGTGCCACAGCTTCCAATAAAACTCAGGCTATAGTATCTGTGTCCTAGAAAGCCCCTATTACAAGGCCTATCCTGTGATGTCTCTGTTGCTGTGACTGCTCACTCTGCTTGCAGGCTGGAGCTGAAGGGATGAGCTAGCAGGGTCTTAGCTAACTAGCTAAGGCTCATACTCAGAGCAAGAGATTCAGCAAGCTGGGACAACTGGGAGACCCCAGTGAACTTGTCTCTGGCCTTTTTGCTCAGGAGTTCAGGCTGAAGTTCAAGCACTCTGGGGCCTCAGCTGCATTTCTTGTGGATGTGGGAGTCCTGATGAAGAGGCCACAACAAACAAACATTCATCAGCTCTTAATGGACCACCACAACAGTCAAACTAGAGCTAGAGAAGAACTGGTAGCAAATCCCAGCCCCAGGACTGGATAACTGAGGATCTTTGGAGCTGAAACAACCCATGAGACAGAAAGTCTCGGAGACGACAACTGTAACCAGAGCAGAAATTCCCCAGACTTCAGACCGTTGTAGGTCTGGAAAGGCTGGTTCAAACTGATCTTGTTTTTGCTAAAATTAGAGGATATGATTCTGCTCTTAGAAAAGGGAATGTGGCTCAGCAGTGGTTAATAAGGAGCAGGACAGAGGAGATCCAATGCAGAGTCTGTCACAGTGGATAACTCCCCCACCACATATCAGCACCAAAGTGCCTGCAGTGTTATCACATGCTTCTTTAAAGTTACAGTTTTTGTACAAATTTTGCAATGAAGAGAAGGATTTAACCCCCCCCCCCACACACACACTGTTCTTTCCTCTAGGACTGGCAGACTGGGCAGCAGGAACGTGGATGTAGGGAAGCAGGCTCTGTACCCTCTGGTTTGTCACAGCCTATGGGATATTTTTGCTCATTTGCTGACTGACTGCTGCTTGGCAGGATGCTTTCGATGTTCTCTGACAACTTTAATCCCCCCATCTCAGCAGGTCTGCAGTGTTGTTGCTTTAAGATGTTTCCAGCAGTCCAGGGCTGGGGGGGTTAATTTATAGACATTCATTCTGTTCTGTCAGAATACCAGGCCAGAGGCCTCTCTCTGCTGTGAGACATCATAGCAGCCTGGAGGCTGGAAGGAATCTGCGTTAGTTAGATATTAACTGTGTTCCCCTGGCTGTAACTTCTCTGCCCATGCCGTGAGTCTCCACACACATATGGCCCATGCCATGCTCCTAAGCACTCCAAAAAATGTGCAGCACATGTCAAAATGGGCAGAGAAACAAGAAAATCCTGGGGAACGTGTGGGCATCGGGTGTGCTGAAGTACAGCATCCGGTCAGATCAATTAGACTTGCTCCAGGGAGCCCAGGGCCTGACAGCTGCCTATGTTTGACTTTCCAGTGGGCCGCCACAGGAGAGGACGCCGGGACAGTGGCAGGGGGTATGTAGGCTGTGTTGCTGGTTAAAATCCATCCAGGCTCAGAGCATCATCCAAATCAGTTTCACTTGATGGGGGCGGGGGTGATTTTTTGTGGTCCTCGCCTGTTGTATGGTTGGTCTGGAATAAACAGATGACTTGTTTCCTACAGCATTTGCCCTCCAAAACCTGTGATTGAGAAATTCAGAGCTTTCTAATAAGAATAAAACTGGGCATAAATTCTAGCAGACCCAGAGAAGAAAGGCCAGGGGTTATTGCTTTACGTAGAGACATGCTTGTCTGTCTAGGTGGAGTCTGTTATCCATGTGCAGGGTGAAGAATGAACAAAACAGATGCCCTTTCTAGCTACACACTATTACAACAGCAATCCATTGTTATAGCACAGAGCAGCAGAGTACTGCAGTCCCCTGTCCCTTTCTCAGTGTTGGAGGATGGAGGGAACCACAGAGGAATGAGGGAAACCCTGGTGGCATGGTTGGTGCTAGGTTACCAAACGCCTTAGCCCCTTAGTCCTCTTGGAAAGTCCAGGCCTTGTACATTAGCAACTGCCTGGAGAATTTCTCACACTAGTGCTTGTGTAGCATCTGCTTCCCAGAAGTGGCTTTGTGCTCACGCTACATAGGTGCCTGGGCAGGCAGCTACAACTCTACACATGCTGCGTTTCTTCCAGACCAAGCAGCTTTTCACTCCAATTGCTCCTTGCCAAATCTCCCAGCATTTCTCTCAGAAATGCTGTGAAGCCTAAGCCAGAAACATGAAGCCCTCAGAGCTCAAGATTTGCATGGTCCTCTGGAAATCTGTCTCTCAGAACTAAGCTCTGTAACTCAGTTGCTTCTGCCAGTCACTTTTTGTTTGTGGCAAGGCCCATAGATTAGGCCACTTTCTAAGAGAGAAGCCTAAAAAGAGCAACCATTTGTGCAAATATTTGAAATGTGCATGTAGGGGGTGGGGTGGGGGCTTGTCTGTGAATAGCTCTAGCAAATTTTGGCCAAGTGAGGAGCAGGGTGGAGGTCACTGACCATTGCCCTAAGCTATAAAAAGGTGTAGGGCATTTGGAGTTTGTGCAGTATAGGCAGTGCTGGTTACATTCACGCTCACAAATCTGCACCCATGAGCCTTTGACACTGCTTGGCATCACACCCCTGATCTGAGACACGTGAAGCATTAGGGTGCTCATAGACCATCTTCCCAGAAATAAACAAATGCTGCTCTGTCCAAATCTCCCCTCCTGTTTTTCAATCTGGTCCGAGTTACTAGAGCCAAGAAATTAAAACACCCTGGTCTGGCGTTTGGGATGAAACTGCTGATCTCTTCAGCCCACAGCACATGGAAAATTGAATCAGAAGCTTTAGAGCAGGGAATCTTTTTCTTTCCCCCAGCAAAACTTCCCCATGACAGCCCACTAATTTTGCTACTTCATTTAAGTATGGATTCCTAAAGAGATGTCCTTGTTTCCTCATTGTGTTTAGTGACCTTAGGATTGAAAAAAGACAAACAGAGGAAGCAGTTTGGAGGAGAGAGCAAGGCTATGTCTTACCCTCTCCCTCCTGCCCCCCAATAGAATGAGGTTACAGCTCCCTGGCAAGGTCTTTGCCTCCTGTCAGAGAGCAGCGAGACCAACACAGAGCCAAAGTTTCTCAGCCAGGTGCTAGACAGAACAACATCCTTATAGATATGGTCTAAACCATGGCATGCTGCTGTAATATGTCTCCCCTCCAGATGATGCTAATTAAGCAGTAGTGCCTGGATCTAATGGGCTTCCTTACTTCTGAGGCACTAATGGTGCTCAGCAAAGGCATGCAGCAATTAGCCCAGCTTCAGGTGTTGCCCTAGCAATAAATCAATAGCTATTAAGGATAAATTATCCAATTTTTAACAGTCACACACTTCTCCCCATTCCGAATCTTGACTTTCAATTGCTAGCCTGCGTGAGCCTTAATAAACCCCAGTGCTTTTGAACTCAGAAGAGAAGGTCTTCTGGCACCTTTAACAGCCATTTACATAAAGATGTGCTTTACCTGTTGTGTGCACACCTGCAAACGATCACTGAGAATCAGGCTTAAAGAGAACAGAACAGCAGATCTAACACCCTTCCTGCCATGCCAGGATGTGTTTGCTTGTGGGCAAGGGGGAAAGTGAAGATATTTGCAGCATCAGAGAAGAGACCTGGAAGAGCTCTCCATCCATCTCCTCTATCCCTCATGCTAACACGAAAGACTCCCAGGAGGAGGAGATTGGAGTTAATGGCACAACTTTAGACAAGCAGGTGTGCAAGACACTGTTTTGCTGCAGACTTTTAGCGTGTCGTGTAGAAAATCCCTTAATTCCTTTGAATTCTGTCCCCCATCTGTCCCTGGGGAGACACATCTGCAGTCTCCAGTGGATGAACACATCGAAAAGGCTGTGAGATGTTACAATACTACAATAGTCACACAGCTTTTTATGCAGGAAGAAAATTAATGCAGAAATTGTCAAAGGAGAGGAAGAGCAGACTCCCAAGGCATTCCCCTGCTACCACCAAGCAGAGCACTGGGCCTCTCTGGACTGGCCCCTGACAACCCTTTCTACAGGGCTCAGACAAAGAGATCACTGCACATGGAGAAGGAAGAACCACTCAGGTAAAATCCACTCGCTCCCAGAAACAAAAATAGAAATGAGAATAAATAGACTTTGAAATGTCTCTAGTACCTTTACCTGCAGAGGGTTCTTTGTGCTTATGGCAATGACGTGATACTTGTAGTAACACAGCTCACAGCTCCAGCAGCCTCTCTCGCTAATCCATTTGATCAGACACGGCTGGTGCGTGCATTTCACCGATCCGTCACATCGACATGGGCTCAACAACTCCCCCTGAAAGAGAGAGACAATATCAGCAAGGCTCCCTTCCTCCCACGGTGCCCAAGCATGGCATGGCATGGCTAGGCAACCACATGCAGAAGCTGGTGGTGGCCTAAGTGCTCCCATCATCCGCTCTTTTGCTCTATGTTTCTTTTTACCTGGCTTAGGCAATTGTGTGTTGTCCATCAGTTTTCCCTGTAATAATTCCTGGCCAGTCTGAACAGTTTGACAGAGATGTAGAGGTCTCAAAGACTGAGGTCCTACAATTTTGCAGAAAGAGGTGGGTGGGTAGATGAGAAACACCCAGTATCACTGCTGAAGGAAAAACTAGATGAATACAACTCTTATTAGGCCCAGAGAATCCACCCTAGACTGCAACAAGCAGACACAGCTCTATCGGAAACCAGACGCCACTGTTTTACTGCTGAGACTTCTGACTCTCTGCAACCTTTTTTACAATAAAAAGTTCCTGGTGGATAAACACCAAGTGCTAGACACACTCTGCTGGAGACTGGTGTCCTACTCAGCCTGGGGCAGCTTCCTCGAACTGATCCAGGCACCAAGGGGGAGCATAGTCACTGTGGTCTTTGGTCTTTCTGTGTGACTGAGTCGTGCCAGACCTGGTGGTGCTGTTCCTCTCCTGGAGTTGGACCGAGCCCAGCACCATGTGGTACCTCCCAGGAATTGCCAGCTGGTAAATGTTTGCAGTGCTAGACGCGGGTCTCTCTTTCTGAATACTCCTGGACCAAAAGGAACGAACCTGAACGTGGGTATCAGGCGTGTGCTTTAGATCCAAGTCTTTGTATAAACCAGTGGGGAGAAGGTCCTTAAATTTCACCCCCCACCCCCCTCCCTGCCCCGCTTCAGACAGACCATTTCAAAAATGAGTCCTATGCATGGATATCTTGTGGGTTTGGCTACTTCCACCCTGGAAGCAAGCAATATGAAAAACAATCTATGTCCCAGCTTGTGACACATGCACACATTTATGACTAGCAACCAAAGTATCCACCTTCCTAGATTGCTCCCTTTTTTCTGGTATAGCTTTAAACAGAGGTATCCAGTAAACCTCTGTATTATTCTGATCCAGGTGCTATCATCCTGTTCATATCACAGGACTAAATTCACTTCTGTACACACCAGCTCAGGAGCTCATTCTACAGTCATTTGCCATCACTTATTTAGGGAAGACTAGAGCCATTACATTTTACTCCCCACCTCTTAACGTATAAAAGCCGTAGTATGGACCCCAACTGGGTATTTAGCTGAATACAGAATTGTAAAAGCTTTTAAAGGCAGAGTGGGAGTGTCTAAAGGATGGAAAAGGGTGGCATCATAATTCCAGTGTTGGGGAGAGGATGTTTCCTCTCACACCCCTAGATCAGATCCTTGTTCTTCCCACTGTTACCGCTGATAGTGCACCAGGAAAACAGAGCTTGGGGACTGAGGGTGCAGGACACAGCAAAAGATGCCCACCCTGGGTTGCCTTGGATTAGAAGAACAGATCCAACTACTGCTAAACCCAAGGGAAAACTGCCTTAAGATTTCAAGGATCCACATTAGGTCTGAAGGCCTGATGAACAGAGAGCTGTGCTGGGCAAGAGTGATACCTTTTTATATGAAATCTAATGCAAAAAAGTTAATCATTTCATTTGCTTCAGCTAGGTGGCCTGAAAATGTCATTTTTCATAGAATTTCAGCAAAACTGTAAATAACTGTTTACATTACAAAGCTCGGCTCCATTCTACCTGTCACTGATTTTCATTACACACTGGAGGGATGCGAAGGGAGGGGAATGGAGCTAGCAGAGTTTTAGTAACTGTGGATTTTTTTCCCCCTGGAAAAGTGTGACAGGACAAGACAGGTATATCTGGAGAAGGAAAATGGGAAAAGATTAGATAGGTGTGTGGGAGAGAGGAGCACTGATATTTGACATTCAAACTATCTGTGCAAGGTGTAGTTTGGAGGACCTGAAATTCTGCCGTGTGTGTTCGTGCCCCTTGCTGGGATCATGGACCGTGCTGGGATGGTGGAAAAGCACAAGTGCCATAAGAAGCCTATGTGAGCTCATGCTGCCAGCCAGGAGGCAAACAGAGAGGGATCAAGGCTCAGCATAGCATCCCCTCTCCCCCACCTGCTAAATCTGTGCCTGCTACATGCCCCCTCTGCTCTGAGCTCTTGGGGAAAGCAGGGCAAATGAAGTCCAGCTGGGAGGCAAACCCACATGTCATTTTTCCAGGCATCACCAGCAGCTCCCCTTTGTAAGATAGCATGGCCAGCCTGGCACAAGCATAGCTGCTTCATGGCTCTAGCCTAGCCTCCTTTCTCGATCCCCCTTGCTTTGCTGGCCTTGTTTTCTCAGGAGCTTCACTCCTCAGTGCGCAGGTTTGATCCCAGCACCAACAGCATCCCCAGCTCTGCAGCATCCCTGCCTTTCCACCTCATCAGATACCTGTGTCTCCTGCAGGGCTTAAAAGTGAATGACCTGGATTTTGCTTAAAGAGCAGCTGAAAGCATTGGTGATGCAGGCTCAAGAACAGGGCAGAATGGAGCAAACAAACAGCAACAACCTCCAGGCAAAGGTAGCGGACAAAAGCTGTAGTCATAGGCTGCATTGTGCAGAGGGGCAAGGGAGACACTCGCTGTGGGTTCTTTGACTCTGTAATAATCTACAAGATCTGAGCTCTTTTCTCCAGAGGCGGAAGATGTCCATAAGCTTCCCATACTGCCGTGGGAACCCAGTCCCCCTTTCCTAATCAGGAGTCTGTGACATAAGCAGTCCTGCTGTCTCCTGCAAGAGCTCAGGACAGAGTTGTGGAGATCGGAAACCCTTGATTTCTCGATATTTTGCAAATCCAGCAAAAACCTGACTTATTGCCATTTTCTCCAGCCGTGTGAAATATTATATCTTTGCATGTGGTGCACAGATATTTTTGCATACTGTGAAGCCCAATTCTGTACACAGCAGGCATTCATAAAAAGTGCCAAATGCACACACGTACACAGGCACTCATGTACCACAAGAAAAATAAACACCAAGTGCATATCAAAGGAATAAATTCTTAGTATGGCAAAGGAGAAAATCTCAATGCTGACTGTACAGCGAGCTCAGGAACGGTCCATCCGCTGTGATTAACACATGAAGGATTCACTGCACAGAGACCTTTGCCAAAAACTACACACACAAAAGCAAGCCTAAAATGAGGCACAGATCACAGCAATTAGAAATGGAAATCAGGCCCCCCGTGTCCGTTTCTGCTGGTTTGTAGAAGATGGTTCTGCACAACATATCCTCCAGCGCTTCAGGCAACAGCGTTTCCATCAATTCCCTTTGGAACTGTTCTCCAAAGACCTTTTGAAGGGAGGGAATGATTCCCAATACTTATTTTTGCAGTTTTCTTTTGTTGAATTACATCCTGTCATTCAGATCAGCCTAAGCAGTATTTCTGCTTTGCCAGCAACTAGTGGAGAAATGCTCCCCGGCTGCAGCTTCCAATAGATCCTCAGCTTGCTCTATACCATCTTGTTCCCTCTTAAACAGCCAAGAGGGCTTGGGACACAGAGGCATCTCCCTCATGTTTTGTTTTCCAGGTCTAAATCAGGGTTAGTATCAAGAGTGGTAAAACCTATAACAAAAAGGGAATTGGGGCCCCGGATTCAGCTATTGCCCTGCCAACGTATGGATAAAATACTGCTTTGTGGCTCAAATGCCAAGCTGTGAAAGGCCGTGTGGGCTCCATCACTGGGGGAATATTGTGCCTGCTAATGTTTAGCACAGCTATGCCTCCTGCCTAGCCCTTGTGTGGGATCCCCTGGGATCTCCCTCCACTGCCTTGATGAACTGGCTGGGGCAGAACTGTCCTGATTTAGGGGTTTCTATGGCTTTGCTAGGAGCCAGAGCATGGGCCTAATTCTGCCAGCTGCCTGAAATTAACTGGAAAACCAGTTGCCTCAGAAAATAGCCTTTCAGATAGCTGCAGAGAAACAAGGATGATATTGCTGGAGATGAACTGGGAGCCTGGGTTTGTTCCAGCTCTGTCCTCTCTTTATGAAATCCCAATCTGTGTCCATTGCAATATGTCAAAGTGGGTAATGATTATCTGGGCCCTGCTATTTTAAGCCTTCTGGGAGGGGTTCTGAGGAAGGATGGAACAAATTATTGCCAATGTGAGCTTCTGATGCTCGATATATCCAGGGAGAAAATAGCTGCATCAGGATCAGCATACTGATGTCGCTGTTTCACTCGGCCATTTTATTTGCTATTTAACAGGCTCATCTGTGGTGCTGGGACTCCATCCATACATTGCTACCAAAGCTGAAACTGCTCACCCACCAGCAGGCAGTTATGGGAAGTGTTTCTCAGGGCTGTTCTTTTAACTACAAATTAACTGTAACAGATTTTCCCCTTTTCTGTCCCTTTCAGATGGAGGACCGTCTAACCTGGTTTAACCTCCAGCCATCCCTCATTCGTGGTCTGATGGAGATAGCTGAAGAACGGGCACGACCCAGACCTTCCAGCCTTTGAATGTGCAGGTGTAAGCCATCCCGGTCTCCTTTTGAGCATGCAAGGCCTGGAGATGGCGATGCCGTTTGGCCAGCCCATGGTCTTCCAGGCTCTCCCAGCTCCAGCTGCGTGCACTGCAGAACTCTCTGGCCTCCTGTATCTGCTCCTGTGATCCCTCCTTATACCATCTCAGCTGGAAAAAGCCAACGTCTAGCGAGCGTTTTGAAAGCCAGTGCAAACCATGCAGCAAACTGTGATGGTTGGTGGTGATCTTAGCACTTGCAGCTTTTTCTCAGCTGTTTGTTTTCTTCGCTCAGGCACAGAAAGTAGCATCAGTTGTTAGCATCCGCAGCAGGATCAGTGTCACGGGACAGACCGTGGCAGTGAGAAAAAGCTAAAAGAGTTGCCCACACCATGAGGGCTGCAGCCTCTCTCTGGATATGTACATGCAGCTTCTATTCATCACAGAGTACCTGCACACATGGATCTGACTGCTAGCATTAATCTG